CTATAGAAAAAAAACAAGTGACATGAGTTTGGACCTTATTTTACGCGGTTTTTAGTTGAATCCCGTAAGTAAAATAAACGTCTCGTCTAACAAAAAGTAAGAATGGGACATACATAAAACACATTTATTACAATATTTGTAAATATTTGGATACTTTCTGAATCAAACGTATGTTTTATCGTGTCCCAAAATGGGAGAGTTGGCGTTTAAATGGTTTTAATAGAAAGTCGGAGACATATCATCTCAATTATACATATTGCATATACAACACACAATACATAAACACATAATACACAAACCAGTCATACAAGAACTAAGAACACCAAAATAGTCATAATTTGATCTCCTGAGGGTACAAACATCATGCTCAGATTTTTTTCAACTCAAAGCATAGCTATTGCCCACAAGATCGAGGCCAGGTAAGTCACCCTTCAGTTTTAAAAAGCATAACCCACTTAACAACTTTTCGGTTATATTTTTCGCATATTTACCGGAACGCCAATAACTGAATTTTCAACAGAAGAAATTATGGAAGCAAGAAACACATTAAAAACTGGAAAAGCAGCAGGTCCAGACAAAATTCTACCGGAAGTCGTCAAAATCGTTATAGAGGAAAAAGCTGAATGGGTTAAACAAATCATGAATGATCTACTAAAAAGATAAATATTCCCTGAAGAATGGAAACTGGCCAACTTGTTACTCACTCTAACACTTGGAAAAGAAATCGACGAGCAAGCGGCTTTTAGACCAATACGTCTATTAAACACATTAGGCAAGATCCTGGAAATACTAATTAAAAATAGACTTGAAAAAGGAGTAACAGCAAAAGGGGGAATATCTGAACGCCAATATTGGTTTAGGAAAGGCACATCTGCAATAGACGCAGCGGAAAGAGCAATGGAAATGCGAGTGTGCCACAGCGCTCGGTTCTCGGACACACGCCGTTACATACGCAGACGACTTGGTAGTACCTACTTGTAGAGCACAATGATAATTAGATAATTAGAAACTGTCAAATACTCATTAGAAAGAGTTAAAGTTTGGTTGGAAGACTGAGATCTAAACGTAGCCTCGTGAAAGACAGGGATACTCCTATTTTAAAGTTTAAAGAAACGAGGATTATATCTCCTTCATGCTGGAAGGAAAAAGAATATTTCCAGTAAAAAAGGCAAAATATTTGGGAGTCATGCCAAATATGTCGCCAAAAAGACTGATCAAAGAACTGCAGGACTAGCAATTATGCATAACATAGGAGGACTAATGCATAAAAAAGACTAATCCTCATGAAAGTTGTGCACTCGACAATTTTATATGCTTCACCAATATGGTATCAAGAACTAAACAAACAAAAGTATAAATTATTATTGGAAAAACACAAAGAAAAGCTTTGTTAAAGGTCGTCTGCGCATATGGGACGGCCTCGACTGTAGCTCTACAGCTCATAGCGGGAGTACCACAATTCACCTGCAGGCAAAATAAAGATGTTTTCGATCTTAAAATCACAAGAATAGTCAGGAAAAGAAAGAAGAAAGAGGGAAACAATTAAAATGTGGCAAGAAGAATGGGAAATTGGTTTAGGAAAGGCACATCTGCAATAGACGCAGCGGAGAGCTACGTAGACGAGAGTGCTAATCCCGGATATAGAGGAGTGTACCGATTGCAATTATAATAGTACGAACTATTTTGTTTCATAATTTCTAACGGGTCATGGATCGGTCAGAAGCCTATCTCGAACGAATAAGCAAAACACCGAATGGTAACTGTGCGGACTGTGGAGGAGCTTGTTCAGATGAGGCGATTTGTGTGAGAGTCCATTCACACGTTCCCGAGAGACTGGAGCTACATATATCCTGTCCAGATGTTTTCGGGTGTTCCCTCACTCGCGCGAAAAACGTATACATTACGCCAGAACATCGACACTAGCGCGAGTAACGCCCGTGTTACGCGTGAGCCAAGATACTAGAAACTAGGTTAGGGCGTCCAATCTTGGCGCGACAATCACAGTGTGAAGGTGTGCTCAGTAAAAATGGAAGCAGATAGTTTTGATACACAATTATTTATTGATGAGATAGAAAAGAGAGAAGCAATATGATATGAAATCGTTGGAGTATACAAAAAGAAATTTGAGACGAGAAGCTTGGGAAGAAATTGATCTTTTGGGACACTTCAGATGCGGATAGAAAAAAAAACATTAGATAAGCCACTAAAATTTGAATTACACTACAATTAAATACACTATTTAACTGGGAATAACCCACAATTAAAGATAAAAATACGTTTATTGACGTTTCAATTTCCACTTCGGAAATCGTTCTCAAAATACAAACAGTAAATTTACTGTTTGTATGATGGTAAGTTGTAGATTTGTACAATTCTCAATATTAAATGTATTCGATGTCATTGTTGGCATATATTCTGTACTTTGGTCTATAACTACAAGTTAATAAATTTTTCTACATAATTTGGAAGGACATGGTATCTTTGTAATAAAATCTAAATTTGATATTGTATTTATATGGGTTCGTTCTTAATACGTGCCCAGTCCATCTTATATAAGCGTTTATATTTACTACTTTTACTGTGGTTTCTTATATTTTTATTTTGCCTCCTGATTATCTTACCACTTTGGGATCTATGTATTACTTGACAGGTAAGTAAATATCTCAAAAGAAAAGAACGTGAAGTAAATAGCTGGGAAGATCTGGCAAATGTTTTGACAGAAATAGCTGAAGATAAACTGGGTAAAAAAGAGAAACATAGAAAAGAATGGATATCAGATGAAACTTGGAATCTTATCGAAGAAAGAAAACAGCAAAAAAAAAGATATTTTGCAAGCAAGAACTGTAGAAGAAAGAGCGAACCGACAACAAGAATATAAAACAATAAATAAAGCAGTTAAAGGAAATGCAAGAAGAGACAAAAAAGATGGGCTGAAGAACTGGCAAAACAAGCCGAAATAGCTGCACAACACAATAGAACTAGAGAGCTATACCAAATTACTAGACGTCTAACAAAAAGTGGGCCCAACTGTTCAAACGTCGTAAGATCCAAGACAGGAGAATTACTTACTACAACAAATGACCAAATAGAGAGATGGAAAGAGCATTTTCAGGAGATGCTAGGCACGCCCAGGGATAACGCAGATGAAATTGTCGAAAATCCACAGAATATAGACTTGCGTATATCTTGCGACGCCCCTTCCAAAACAGAGATAATAACAGCTATCAAATCTCTGAAAAATATCAAGTCTCCGGGAATCGATAACATTGCTGCCGAAATGCTTAAAACTGATCCGCATCTAACTGCTGAACTTTTGCTCCCCATAATCCGAGAGGTGTGGGAAACAAACCGCATTCCAGCGGGCTGGAAAAAAGGCATCATTATTAAGCTTCCAAAAAAGGGCAACCTCACACTATGCAAAAATTGGAGAGGAATAACCTGCTTACCGCCATAAATAAAATCTTCACGACCATCATACTTAAAAGATTAACAAACAAGGTTGAATTTCGAGCTAATCAAGTAGGCTTTAGACCAGAATCCTCCTGCATAGACCACATTAATACTGTGAGGCTAATAATGGAACAATCGGTTGAATGGAACACACCCCTATACATGGTTTTTGTTGATTTCGAGCGTGCTTTTGACAGCTTATCTCATGATGCGATATGGAAAATTTTAGAGCTAAGAAACATCCCGCATAAAATAATTTCCATTATAAAGTTACTGTACACTGAAGCGAAATGCAGCGTGACACACAATGGGATCAACAGTGACGAATTTGACGTACTTACTGGAGTCAGACAGGGATGCGTGCTTTCTCCGTTTATTTTTAACATAGCTCTAGACTATGTTCTCTCCAAACTAGACTCTGACACAAGAGGGATACAATGGACGTTAACCACACGCCTAAGCGATCTAGAATACGCCGACGATATCTGCCTGTTAGGACAAAGGTTCCAAGATGTGGCTGACCAATTGGAAACACTTTCCACTGAAGCCAATAAAATAGGTTTGAAAATCAATATTGGTAAAACCAAATCCATGAGAATAAATGCAAGAAACAACACGCTATTCACCATTAATAACATGCAGATTGAAAATGTGGAAAACTTTACGTATCTTGGAAGTATCATAACAGAAAGCGGAGGTACAGAAGACGATATTCGTATGAGGATACGAAAAGCGCAACAAGCTTTCAGCATGCTCAACCCTGTTTGGAGGTCTGGAGACTACACTACGAGGACAAAGATCCGCATATTCCAATCAAATGTCATGTCTGTACTACTTTACGGATGTGAAACCTGGAAAGCAACAAAAACCCTTACAGACAAACTGCAGGTCTTTGTTAATAAATGTCTACGAAGAATTGTTCGTATTTTCTGGCCTAACATCATCAGAAACGAAGATTTACTACACCTGACCAAACAAAAGAGGGTAGTAAATGAAATAAAGTCCAGAAAGTGGGGTTGGATCGGTCACACACTCCGAAAAAATAACTCCAGTATTGCAAAGACTGCCCTAGAGTGGAATCCCCAAGGAAAACGAAAAAAAGGTCGCCCAGTACAAACTTGGAGAAGATCCATCATGGACGAGATAAGAAAACAAGGAAAGTCTTGGAATGAGGTGAAGGCCTTAGCGCAAAATAGAACCCGATGGCGCGTTTTCACTGAAGCTCATGCTCCACTTAGGAGTTCAAGAACCTTATATATATATATATATATATATATATATATATATATATATATATATAATATATATATATATAATATATAAGTAAATATCTACTAGTAATTACACATTTATCAGAAATCACAAGATATACAATTAAATGGTAAAGTTAACTAAAGGATGTTCATGATATTTTAACTAAGTGCAAATAATTATTTGACGTCCAGTGATTAAGCACATATGATAAGTCAATAACAAAATCTGCACAATAAGAATGATTTAATTGGATTGTCTAAAAACAAAGAAAAATTTGTACAAAAAATAAATTAGTTTTATCATTATCCTAAAATAAAATTCACAAAGTATCTACAAAAGATCTACAATGTATGGCTTTATCTCGCTTGTTTCAATTTGATCGGGATGATGTCGTCTTTTATGTTTCTTAAGCTGAGATGAAGACGTGTAACTCTTTACACACAAATTACATTTAAACTGTTTAATCCCAGTGTGTTGTTGCATGTGATACTTCAAATGTACCGACTGGAGGAATGTTCTACCACAGCACATACAAAGAAACTTTCTACCACCATGTTTCTTCTGATGGTACATATAAGTGTCATATGTTTTAAACTGTTTATTACATTCGGCACATGAATACGCACAGGAATCTGAATGAACAGCTACATGTTTTTTAAGACCCCATTGAGTGGGAAATGATTTGTTGCAACCGTTATGACTACAATGATATCTGAAACAATAAAACCAAAAATTAGAGGTAGCTAGCAAAAGGTATACCTATTTATTATTTGAAGACTGTACACCATCATAATGACGTAATAAACGTAATTCATCTTTCATTTCTAAATATGGCAAACTATCAGATTTTATCATTGAATCTTTTTATTGTATAGAGACACTTAACTCCTATAGTTATAGTGATTCCACAAGTCCATCAGGAGAAGCAGCTAAATAGGGATGTCCAATGAAATAATAAGTTCACAGCTAAACCACACGGTTAGTAGTTGCCTCCTCATAGACACAGATATCTACTTTCTCACATTTTTACTCAAATCTGTTCCGCTGGAGTGAAAAAATTTTGATTCAATAATAAATTCTACAACTGTCTGTTTTGCAAATAACAGTGCCAACCTGAGGTACTGTTGGTGCTGCATTGATTTTCCTTGGAACCAGGCGGCAGAACTACCCTGAGCTCGTGTTGCTTCTTCGATAGAATGAATATCTTTTGTTGGCACTTGAATACGCTCTTGTATCATTTGCTGTATGATCGAAGATAATAAATAATCATGATCATGATAATAAAGAATCGTAATCAAAATCTTCATTAATGTACAAACTTCTCTTCCTGCTTGGTGTTTAATTAATGACCTGATTTCTTACACTATCAATAAAATTAAGCGCTCGGTAAAAATTATATTCATCTGTTTTTGACTTGAAATCCTCATTTGGTGGCCATTTGTGGACTCTTCCAACAGAAGAGTGCACAATGTCATGTCGAAAATTATTATTTCGATCATATGCAGCCGACCTATACTATAAAATAGAAAACTTAATCAGTTTCTGTCCAGTCAAAGCATTGAACTTCTGGAAGCTACACATTATCTCATACATAAATGAAAGGTGATGATTTATAATGAGTTTTGTTTTAAGGCGGCACAAAACTGTATTCAATGTATGGTAGTTAATTAAAATTACCACAGTTTAGTTACATGACTAGTAGTTAAAACCGAAATATAAATACATACACCAATACAAATATTTATATTTTGGTCTGAGCCATAGACATGAAACTTTAAAACGATATAATTTACCCTTTCGATAAGGTGTTTTTTCCAGTAAATCTTGCATGTTTTCTACTCAATTTGTTTTTCAACTCGCAAACAGTCCAAGATCCGTATTTTTCTGCCATAATTGATTAAATCAAAAAAATTACAACAAGAATACCATACAAGCTTAATGAACTATCAAAACGTGTTGACCTCCAACTTCACTAGCGCCGCCAAGCGAGAACAACGGCGTACATAGCTGTCATTAAGTTTCACAGAAGGAAATATTACATTGGTCGTGTTGCCATATTCTTATAATTTATATGTTATATGCTTCAAATGCAAAGAGAGAAAGCTTTTAAAATGTACATTTTTATTATATTATTTTATGGATTCTGCAATTTTATAACTTATATAAAACTTAAATGAATTCATATTTGTTTCTTTTGATATTAATTGGAATTAACTATGAGAAATTTTTTTGGGCAATTGCCCTTTGATAGGCTAGCAGATAGATTTGGCAATAGAGTCAGAAACCTCAAACCACCAGTTGCCAGAGTGCAACAGATGACTTTATTATTTATACTTACATTTTACTATTTACTTTTAAAAACTATGTTAAAATGATTTACTTTTTCTTTTTTTGGTAATACTAAAGTATTAATTTTTAAATATCTTATACCTTTTGATTGCATATCTTTCATTTGTAATGTAAATTTCAACACTGTCAAACACCAATATTTCATTCCATCAAACTCTTTTGAGGCTATCTTCACTGGGACCAAATGTGAAAAATGTCTGCTTACCTTATTTTATAATGTAACTTAATGTGAGCCCCCAAAGTTCCTGCCTTATTGTAACTCTTCCTACAATAAGGACATTGGTATCTGTGAAACTGCATAAAATGATTAAGAAAAGAATCAGAAGTATATAAAGTTTCACTCTCTGTACAAATATTACAAGGGAATTGTCCAGAATGTAAAGACATGTGAGAAACAAATCCAGTTTCAAAATTTACAAAATATGCTTTGGGACATACAGGACAAGCAAACTGGACTTTGATTTTTCTTCTAGTTGCTGTTTGGGGTTGCTTAATATCAGAAGACATAGATGTTTTAATTGTCTTAATAGTGGTGGCATTTTGGATATTTGTAGATGTATCTGGAATTGTTTCTAAACTATCAACTAAAAAATTCATATTTTCCATCTCTACCTCCTGTTGATCATATTCCACTAAATTTTGTTCTGTTAATTCCTGATCTCCAGAAACATCATAGTTAATGGCTTCTAAATGTATCTCCGTTGATTCAAGAAAGGATTTTGAGTCATCATCACTATTAAGTGGTTCACAATATAATTCAATTTCATCTGGGTTACCTTCAGTATCAACCACTTGAGTTTCATAATCATTTTCCTCATAATCATATTCATCTTCATTTACTGATGCTAAGGAAGATTTTTCTTTAAGTAACTGAAGATTATTTTCTCTAAATTGTAGAATAAAATTGTATGCTATCCTTATAGTTCTGAAGCATGGTACACAAACTCCATGAGGTAAATCATCATTTAAATCAATCTAAAAAAAAAGGTTACTAGAGTAGAGTAAAGTAAATTTTTATTTGCATAAATGTTTAAACATAATTGAACAAATAACGTCACATTATTAATTACACATTAAAAAAATATATATTGACATCACACATTTAAAATATATTATCATTACAAATTAAATATGCTGATCAAAGAGAACGATATTTGAGGCACTCTGCTACAATATAAGGCTCAATGTCAACTAGGTGTTGAAAAACCTTTCTTTTAAAAGCTCTATAGTGTGTTTCCTGTTGAATGTCAGATGGTAGACTATTATAAAATTTAACACAGGCATACAAAGGACTTCTCTCTGTTATAGACAATCTGTGAAGTGGCAAATTCAAATTAAGGCTTAGTGTATTATATTCATGATTGAGAAGCAGGTGATAAAACAAAGAAAAATTTTTAAAAAGGAAGATAATACATTCAAATATATAGATGGCTGAGAAAGTGATATTGAGTGATTTGAATCGGCCTCTACAGGATTCTCCCGCCTTTAGTCCTAAGATCACCCAGACTGCCTTTTTTTGGACTATAAAGACAGTTGGGCTATCTACTGCAACACCCCAGAAGATTACTCCATATAGCATAATAGAATAAATTGTTGTATTTTGTATTTGTTCCCCCCAATTCAGATTCTGGTCAATATGAATACCAAGAAATTTAACTGATCTAGCAGGTTCCGTGTTTTGTGATAGAAAATTAATTGTATCTGGAAACTGTTCTTGTGACTGACTGGTTCTAAAGTAGACAAAAACTGTCTTATCGGTATTAAGCAACAACCGATTTCCACTGAACCACTGTTCAGCCTTGCTTAGAATTTGCTCTGCCACTGTGAGGAGTATTTTTAAGGTTTTTTCCAGAAAAGCACATTTGAGTCATCAGCGAAATTTACGAGGTTTGAGGAACTACTAAGCACCGCATTTGGAAAGTCGTTTATGTAGACCAAAAAGAGACAGGACACTCCCCTGTGGTACACCTAATTTTAAATTGATTGGTTCAGAGTAAACCCTACATCACCTTATCTCCAGGCATACCTTTTGTGACCTATCTGTGAGAAATGATTTTATACATTTTAATGCTGGTCCCTGTATTCCATAAAGATGTATTTTTTTGTAATAAAAGAACATGATCTAGGCTATCGAAAGCCTTAGATAGGTTCAAAAAAGCACCTAGTGTTTTCATCTTTGATGAAACTATAATTTTATGAACTATACTCATAAAAGCATCCCACTGACTATCTTACTTCTAATGTCTCAAAAACAGATACTTAGTCTACATTACCTAACATGAATTTAAAAAAAAAAACATTTATTCTCCTTGCTAAATATTGGTTTTTTTATTATATTTGACTCAAATTCATTTAATTCAAATTTTACCTTTTGAGCAGTATAATCAGATGTATGAGGATTGAATACAAGAGAATCAAATATGTCAAAATTTGTAAAAATATTATCTATACAGGATTTTTTGTTACCTTGTATGCGTGTATAGTCTTTGATGGAAGGTTTAATATCAAAGGAGCTCAAAAATTGTTTTAATGTGTCTGGCCACCTCACACCCTCAAGCAGCATATCTAAGTTAAAATCACCAGCCAGAAAAATACTAGAGTCCTTGTCAACTAAATCACAAAGTATTTGATCTAATTTGTTTATTAAAACTTGTGGGTCTTCTGTTCAGTAAATGGATAGGATTACAATATTTCTTATTAATTCGCACCTCTGCAGAGGAACACTCAAACACGGATAAACTAGAAATATCTTCCCGGGCTTTTGCAATAAATGTGTCTTTGATGTATACTGCACTGCCACCATGCCCCTGTGAACTGCTTCTACAATATGGAGAGATCAGTTTAAAATTCCGCACATTCCAGTCCTGCAGTTGTTCTTCTGTTTTCCAGTGCTCAGTTAAACAAAGAGCAAAGCGTTCATCATGATCTTCTAGCATAAAATTAATGGCATCAATGCTTGTTTTAATTGATTGCATATTTAAGTGAATTACTGATAATTTTTTTGGTGTGTGCCGTAGACTGTCTTTTGACACTGGGGTGCCTCTGTACATTCTGAAAATGGTTAAAAATTACACCATTCCGCCATAATTCTTGCTGCATTAAATAAGGTATTTTTAGTTCTGGAACAGTAATTTTAATAGAACTTTCGTATTTATCTGTCCTAGTTTTCATTTTTTTGCAGATAACATTTTCATCCAGTTAATTTAATTATATTTAATTCAATTACTATTTAATATTATTTAATTCAATTAATACACAATATATATGCTAAACTAAACATGCATTGCAATCAATATTTATTTATTTATTTATTTATTATTTATTTATTGACGGGCTAAACCCTTTTTCAGTTTTTGTACAATATGTATAAAATACAGTAAGATACTTAAGCTAGCTACAACAGTTTTTTAACATGTTTTTTAAATGATGCAGTTGAAGTATTAAATAATTCTAAATCTGTTTGGTAATGTTCGCCGTACGTAACATTCTAGAAATTACTTCATTAAATTCATAATTAGTAGAATGGAAATCCACAAAAAACAGGTTAAACAATATAAAAGGAAATATCTGAGCCAGCTGGTTACTGGATCACCAAGATGCTGCCATTGCAGAAATAATGGTGGGCACTCTTCTGTGATGTATATTCACACACAAGGCTTGTTGTTTATAGATTTTTTCAATTGATCAGTATCTGGCATTACTTAGTATAATCGTAAACATTCAAGTTTCTTATAGCGAAGTCAGTGACAACTTAGACTATGTTGTTGATGGTGTACATTTGCAATACAAATGAAGCAAGTTAATACAAAAATGGAACTTATTCGTCAAAGTTTGTATTGGATGATTTTAATTATTTATAAAAGGCATTGCCCAACAACAGTGCATAAAATAACTTCGTGCAACTGTTGGTGATAAAGAACCATCAGAGAAGACTGTTTACAAACTATTTCCAAAATTTCGTCAAGGTCATGTGTCTCTCAGTGACAAGTATTGTGATGATTGACCAAAATCGGTTGTCATTCCAGAAAACATGGCTACTTTGCACAACAAAGGACAATATAGATGTGACTCTTGGCACTACAATACAATGCAATTGATTTTGCAAAAACATTTAATGTGAAAAAGGCCTATAATTTAATGCAAGCACAAAAAAAGCTTTTACTGATTAATGTCAGGAAATTTCAAACAATAATTAACAAATATAACTTGTTCCCAAATTATGTATCTTACCTTAAACTTATAAGATTTTTTAAGAAAGAAATTTGAGGAGAAATTAACTGTGGATTTAGGGGCAAACTTTTAAACTGAAGTAATTCTAAATGGGTTCTATGATTTAACCTAAGCCTTTTGAGTGTGATAAGAGAAATAAGAACGAATTCTACACATATTCCTCACTTGTAAAGAGAATGCTGATCTGAGTTTCTTGGACAAAATAAAACAATAAATCCCTTTAACTGTGATCAATACATTCTTCAGTAAATTACCTCTTATATTCATTATCTGATGATTGCAGTGTCCTAAAAGCTTTAGGCCAAACACAATAGTATTATGGTTTATCAGAAACACAGATCAAATGGTTTGATACAATGGTTAAGTATAGGGGATTGAAAAGAAAATATACCAGTACAATATAAATACACATATTTGTTCAAAAAGTTACTGCCTCTTAAGTGCATGTTTTGCATGAATTTATTCAAATTTGTTAAGTTATTATAAAAGTGCAACCAAAGCCATCAATACCATGAAGAAGTGCATGTTTTGCATTGAATCATATTCTACAATTCTATATAGAATTATAAAAATTACTTTTAAATTTCTTACCTCTATAGAAGTGCAGTAAGTAATCATAGTAGCAATATCTACATCACAATTTGCAATTGGCCCTTCCAAAGGATACAGTCTTTCAACATCGTCTAAACACACACGACATTTATATAAAGTAACAAAATTTCCTTGTTTTACCTTATTCATATTAGTTAATCATATGATATAATACAATAATATTATCACATTAGATATTTAGCTCAATGTTTGACTTATTTCATATTCAATAACAATTATCTATATTTTAAACGTCAGTTATCACCACTATTCCAAAAATGTCACAAATAATGAGAATTGACATTTGACATTTAATCCATATTTATATTTTATCTCTGTTTAGTATAAGTCTGGTAAGAGTAATAGATATATTATTTGAACATTTAGGTTTAGCATGTTGGTTTTTCTGAAAAATTATAAAATAACCTTCATGTTGCAATTCTCTGTCATATTTGACATCCTAATATTTTGTTTTTAAAAATATATCTGCGTCACAGGTGAAAATACCAATTAAATAGTTAATTAAATTCGACAATTTGGTTAGAAGGCATATACTTGGAGGAAGTTTAAAAAGAAATTTGTCACAAGTGAAAGTTCCATTAGAACAGTGAATGTTGTTAAATTAAATAACAATGGAAGAAGATATACTTACAACTTTAAAACTTCTAATTATAGGCGAGAGTGGTGTTGGAAAATCAAGCCTGCTTCTTAGATTTACTGAGGATAATTTTGATCCTGAACAAACATTGACTATCGGTGTAGATTTTAAAACCAAGAGACTTACAATTGATGGCAACACAGTCAAACTGGCTATATGGGATACTGCTGGTCAGGAAAGATTTCGAACTTTGACTCCCTCATATTATAGGGATGCTCAGGGTGCAATTTTAGTGTTTGATGTTAGTAGTTATGCTTCCTTCTCAAAACTAGAAATGTGGTTGAGTGAACTGGAAACATATTCCACAAAAAGTAATATTATAAAAATGATAGTTGGAAACAAAATAGATGTGGTAAGATTACAATATTTATATGCTGATAATAATACAGGCAGCAAGATTCCTTTCTATCTTTCCTTTCTATGCCACTGCCTTTTTACTTGTAATCTATTTTCAGATCAAGTGTTTTGAAGATAACTTTCTTTGTTTTCTATTTGTACTGTATTACATATTTTCTTCTATGATTCATTATTCTTTTTTACTCTTTTATTTCTCACTTGCTTATTGAGCATAAAATTCACATTTCCCCTTATTCTATCATTAGTCCATGGGTTCACATATCAGCTTTTGTTTAAATTGTTTTATACTTGTATAGACTCAACTGAACTTTTGCTCTATGGTAATCTTTGTTTCTAATAATAGGTTGTTGTTATTCAGTATTGATCGATTTGAAAACAAACCTTTTAAGAATATATTATTATTAAATGTTCTGTCGTGTTGTGTTTATGTACCTTTCTTAATTGAATCAGCAATTTTGAAAAGGGGTCACATCCACTTTTTTAAATTTTACAGGAGAGGTAAAAAACTTCGTATCTTTATTGCTATTAGGAAATTAAGTGTTTTTATGTATTTTTTGGTTTTATGATTTACTATACAAACAGTTGAATATTATAAAAATATATTTTTTAATTTTAAAAGACTTCCAAACTGAAATTTTTGTAAAAGAGATGACCAGTTTTCAAAATGAACAGGTAATAAAAGTAAAAACAGTCATTATCATATGAATATTGTTTATTAGAAACATTACACGGCTACACTAAATTTAGAAGAAAAATCAAAAACATAAAATACTTAGAATGGCTACTGGTAGAATGTTAATGTCTTTAATTTTTTTATTTTTATTGGAATTTTCCCCTAATGAGCAGGAAGATTTTGAGAATCAGATACAAACATAGGTGGACTGCCCTTTTGTTGAGGCTTTAAAAGTTGAAAATGTCCTTCAAGAATGCCATCAATATGTGTGGTTTAGCTAATACCACATCCAAATCATCTGAGGAAAAGCTAAATTCATAATAAGAGTTCATACTGAAACTAACCTTTTTGTTTTTTGGAACTTCTTTACCAAAGCTTCGTGTAGACAAAACTTTCTTTTTAAAAGAATCTGGCCACCATTTTTCAAAAATAGCTACCTCTATATGAGGAATATGTCTAATATCAAATTTATTATGACTAGATGAAGAGATAATTATAATCTTCATGTTCCTCTACAGTTCACGGAATGTTCGTGGCCACCAGTTTTTCTTTTAATGGTACCGAAATCTCTGTCACAATCATTAAATGAGTGGCTCTGCTCTGGAAAGTTAATAGTAAATATTTTGAACTTCTTAGTCATTACTAGGGCCAGAAGATTCTGGTTCTATAGTTTTTCGTCAAGCTATGCACTTGCCCACATGATTTAGATGTTCTTTTCCGTGAACTTTTGCATTTTTAGTAGATTTATAACGATTTTGATTCCTCACACCTTTTTTTCATTTTAAAGGAGGAGATTTACTTGCACTACTATCACTATACGACCTTGTATGAGGCACAGCATGTGTTTCCAAACAGGTCTATACATTAAATAGATTGCATCAATATAAATAAACCGTTATACTGAGGGTAGGTTGGATGTGATTAACCATTATACTGTGGGTGAGTACAAATCGCCATTCAATTTGGAAATGGGTTATCTCTAGGAGATGACTTGTTTTCAAACTGAACTGGTTTGTGGGGTATGCTATATTTACGGTAATAATATTGAAAGTTGACCTGTTATATATGGAATAGAGGAGTGTATGTGTGTTAAATATAAATTCAACAAAAAGTGGAAATGTCAAAAAAGTGGAGATGACCCCTTTTCATAATGACTGAATCAATTAATGTAAATAAACTGTATTTCATCGTATAAATACATAGTATATATTTTCTAACACTATGTTATTAGGTATATTTTGTTTCTTTTGTCCTTCCATTGTTTAATTTTTTGGTTTCTCAAATCCAATGTCATATACAAACAGGTTTTTTATTTTGTTTATTTAGATTTGTCTTTAATTTTCTATTTCTGAATAGGTACTGTGTGACAAATGTGTCTGAAATTCCAGTTGCTCCTTTTTGAATCTCTCTTCTCATGTGAATCTGTCCTGAGATCCTTATAATTCTAATTGCAGTGTTATTATTTTATTTCTTCTGTAATAGAATATCTTTTTTTATCTTAATGTGGGATCTTAATGTTGTTTTATTTATATAGTGTGAAAACCACTTTATGAAAGAAAATTATGTGTGTCCATATTTTAGAAAATTAAAGATTACTGTTACTGATTAATGTTCACTTTCTAAAATATAAATTTTGATTTGAATGAAAAAGACAGCAAATATTTTGATTTCACGCAAACAGCACCTATGTATCTGTTGATATGTATTTCGACCTAATAGGTCTCATCAGAACAGTTATTCATAGGTGTTCTCAACGTGAAAGATCAATATTTTCTGTCTTTTAAGAAGCAACACTAAAATGGCTTCGATATGGACGCAATAGCGACATCTGATAATAAAACTGTAAAATAGTTTCGAAACACAATTCAGATTTCTGCTTTAATCTGTGCTTTCTAAAAATTGCAAAGCAAAACAGATGTTGATGAAGGTGTTAAAAATAATATAGTATAATAAATTTTAATGTATAAGGTGATACACACATGTGTAGAATGGTGCTTCATCTTTTTTTAACATATTGTATGTAGATGTCTGATCATGAGACTTACACTCTGAACTGAAACTTATTTATTAATAAAAATGTGTATGATCAATGGCATACGAAATACATGCATGCCATCTGCACATTTGTGAAGGCACTGTGTGCACAAAACATGTTAATAGAACACCCTGTATATTTTTACATGTTTAAAAGCTCCTTAACAATTGGATCTTAATGAACTATAATATGTGGGGGGGTCTATTATGAATAATACAAGGTAACATTTTGAAATTATGTATAGTTTTCTTCAAGAAATTAAAAAATAATAATAAATAAATAAATAATAAATAAAAAATTCATTATATTGATAAGCAGTTTAGAAAATTGATGTTTGTATTTAGCTAATTTTAAAAAGTGCCAGTATTTAAAGTGTAGTAAATTATTATTCTAAAAATTTTATGTATATAATCATCATCATCATCTTCTTTGGCTCTACAACCCTGGGTGGTTCTTGGCCTGTTCAAGAATTAGTTTCCATTCCCCCTATCTTTCATCCTGGCTTTCCAATTTCTGACCCCTAGATTCCTCAAGTCATCTTCAACTTGAGTTTTAAATCTAGATCCTGCCTCTCTTCCTGGTTTCTACTGGCTCTTGATATAATGTCTGTCTTTGGGGGTCTCCAGTGTCCATTCTTTCAAGGTGTCCTAGCCACCTTAGTCTATTAATTTTAATAGACCGGACGATGTTGCATTTTTCGTAGCATTGATATAACTCAAAATTGTAGCGCCTGCGCCATATCCCGTTTTCTTGTACTTTGTATATGTGTATACATATACAGAGTATATGTATATAATGCCCTGGCTATAATTATTTATTTATTTTCGTTTATTGATTTTTAATAGGCTGCTGCCCAACAATATTAACAATGTTTATAATAGTTATATTTTATATAAAAAATATAATAAAAGAAAATAAAATATAAACATCACAAACTTAATCATGTAAGTAATTTAGTTTTATAATCAAAATGATGACTACCTATTCTACAGCCACTTAAGTAAATACATGCCTAAGACCAGAAATAAATTTGGCCAAAAAATCTATATCTTGGTGAATATTTGCCCATCTTTGAGCTTGAGATAAAAATTATTGTGAGTTTAGTAGGTTCTATGGAGAGGAACATAAAAAGTTTGGTTTAATTGTGTTCTAAATGCAGACCAACCTCAAGTAGCTGAGAACACAAGACTGTAGAATTAATTCTACCATAAAACATTTTTAATTAATTGTTAGTCATAAATTAAGAGAATACAAGTTGTATGCTATATATTTTAAGAACTTGTGTTGATATGTAAATATTACAAGATGGAGATCATACACAAGAACAATACTCTAGATGAGGTCTAACTAAATTAAATTCCAGATTGTGAATTTCAGTAATTCAGTCATAGTAACCTGTATAATCATATATAGTTTTAAAATTTCAGAATGTCCAAAATGTAAAGACATGTGAGAAACAAATCCAGTTTCAAAATTTACAAAATATGCTTTGGGACATACATTACAAGCAAACTGGACTTTGATTTTTCTTTTAGTTGCTGTTTGGGGTTGCTTAATACCTTAAGTATTCATAATAAACCCTACATGATATAGTTCTGTGAGATCAAGTTGTTAAGTAGCATTTAGAAATATAAAAATATACAGAGTGTTCCATTAAAAATAAAGATGATGGACTTGTGTGAATCACCCTGTATATTTAAATTTATATTTAAAAAACGCACATTAAAATTTAAAGTGGATGAGTCTCAGCATTTTTATAATTTTTTAAAATAAAGACACAATTATATTCCATAAGTGATTTCCATACTGTCCTATTATGATAATAGGACATAGATAATAGTCTATTTATCTATCTATACAGCCCTTGTTGTCCAATTTTGGACAGCAAGGGCTGTTTAGATAGTCTTCTTCCTTCTTCCACATCTCTCTATTGTAGACAGTTTTATCCACTTCAGGCCTGCGTGTTTCTTCAAGTCATCTGACCATCTCATTTGCGGCCTTCCTCTTTTTCGTTTGTAACTATATGTCTCCAGTGTATAATCATCTTATTTCATCTGTCATCTTTCTGTCTTATGGTATGTCCAGCGAACTTCCACTTCAGTTTTGCTATCTGTGTTGATACATTGGTCACTTTTGTTTTGTTGCGGATCCAAGTATTTCTTTTCTTGTCTGATAAACATCCAAGTTTAAGAACCGTAGGTGAGAACAGGAAGTATACATTGGTTGAAGACTCTTGTTTTTAAATATTGGGGGTATTTTCTATTTTTGAGTATATTGGAAAGTTTTCCGAAGGATACCCAAGTCAACTGTATCCTTCTCTTTGTTTCTCTGGTCCGATTATCTTTATTTAATTTAACTAGTTGTCCCAAATATACATATTCTTTTATTTGTTGTACAGTTGTTTGTGCAATTGTAATTATTAATTCTTCTGGATTTTATTATAATTCATTTGTAGACCTATTTTTGTTGATTCGCTATTTAATTCATCTATCATATTTTGTAATTCTTCCCTTTTATTTGTTATTAATACAATGTCATCTGCATATCTTAAGTGATTCAAGTATTGGCCATTTATGTGAATACCCCATGTTTCCCATTGTAATTTTCTCATAACATCTTCCAAAGCCTGATTGAATAGTTTGGGTGATATAGTGTCACCCTGTCTGACTCCTTATATCTTAATAGGCTCCGTTTGTTCAACTATTTTAATGGATGTTGTTACTTGATCATATAATTTGGAAATTAAGTCCTTATATCTATAGTCTATTCTCCCATTTTGTAAATTAAATTTTAAAATTAAAAATTAAACCAAATTGATCCGATTCTACAAACAGAAATACCTCTTATATTGTCAAACAAAACATATCAATCAAATGTGAGAGTTGTACTATGAATTTTTCATTTTTTTTTGTTCTGCTAACTGTCTAACTGTCTTTTCGATTATCTGTCATACTCTGGGTCCGGTGCCCTGATGGATTATCTAGGTTCCACTGTATATGAATTTTTATGTCTTATGTGCTATTTATATCAAATCTTTTGTTGAAGGTTTTTCTTTCACTTAGTTTTATTTACCATGAAAATAGTAGTGCTGATATCACAACAAAAGATCAAAATAAAATATTTTCGAATACAAACACATTAAATTAATAGAAATCTTTATTATAAATCTCACCTTATAAAATTCTTAATATCACTATAGTTTTTATAGTTACTTTTAATTTGTTGTAATAAATAAAAGGTCATTAATACAAATATATATTTTTAAGGATAAACGTGAAGTATCTAGGGAAGAAGCTATGAGGTTTGCTAGAAGACATCAAACATTGTATATTGAGGCCAGTGCCAAGACAAAAGATGGGGTACAGTCAGCATTTGAAGAACTTGTTCATCAGGTATATTTGTTTACTCTTGTTTGCTATTTTAATCAATTAAAAAAAAACATTAAATCATTATTAGATCACCATTCTGATCATATATAGAGATAAAACATACACTAGAACCATTTTTCTATTTTACCCAAATTATGGAAATCCCATTTTATATTCAATATCTAATAATAAAGACAATAAATGTGAACTTAAGTTTTAAAATAGTTATATAAAAGCAAATATAGGTATCACATTGAATTTCATCTTCTTCTGTATAGGGATATAAAAACAAATGTATGTTCGTCTGTCTGTCTATGTGTGTGTCCTTTGTATATTACTACATCATTCACCATGAAACTTTGGGCAATTGTAGAGTTTACTTCTACAATTTTTTTTTCTGGCATATTATATCTATCTTAGAATAGTTAGTATTCATATATACATATTTTTTATATTAACATTTTTCATTTATAATATTCATTTTAATGTAAACAATGATATTTTTTAAGTTTGGCCCCCAAACAGCAATCAATTGATCTAAATCTAAAGAAGGAAAAAGGGCAAATAAGAAGCAAGATAAGAAGGTGTTGTAATACAAACTGCTGAAGCTAATGCAAAAGTATGAAGGTTTGTAAGGGCGGTTTTCATACCCAAACCTGAAGAGGAAAAAGCGAAATAACCGTAAAAGGCCTCTGTTTTCGTATACAACATGGCTGGCAAAATGTTTTCATTCAAAAGAGGAATCAGACAAAGTTGTGTTTTGTTCCCAAATTTGTTCCAACAGAAGATTACATCAACAACATTAGTTATGGATATGACACTGTGATCATGGTTTAAAGAATCAAATATCTTCAATTCCTCTTAGACAGTGCCCACTGCAGAATGTTCCAGTAACAGACCTGGTATAAATATATCAAAGGCAAAGCTACTTGTGCTTAGTAAGTAAGATGTTAGCTTTATTTCACTAATTGTCAACAGTTATCTGATGACAAAAGTTAACCATTGTAAATACTTAGGATGCTGGATAAACGGCACACTATACTCTGCAATTAACGATTGTCCAAGAATATTCAAAAACTAAAAAAATAGCCATATCTATTTTGTTGGAAAAATTGCTACTCGACGTCGTCGGCAACACAGCTTCTTTTAATCGTAAAAAAACATAAAAATTTTTATGATAAATGCGTAATTGATGAAATGACAAAACCCAGAAAAAACTGGTATTGAAACTTCCTCGGTATCACTGTAGTTAAACCCCATAGAACTCATCTGGACAATAATAAAAATAAGAGTACAGTGAAAAACACCACCTTCAAATTTTCAGATGCCATAAATCTATTTTATAATTCAATTATACCAGAAATATGGAAGAACTACACTTTACATGTTGAAAGAAAAATTAGAAAAGGAAACTTTGATGATAGTGACATATTATCCAGTTCATCAGAATAATGTTTAAAAGTAGCTAAGATCTCTATTTCTGCCTTATATTTACGCCGAACCCAAACGAATTATGAATCACTTTATATTTTTATTCCAAAAACTAACCGGTTTGCAACATTTAAACATTTTAGAATCGGACAAACAACTACTCGGATAACAAAAATGATTAATAAAACTTATATTTTTTGAAAACGCCCTGTATATAAAATTTATTGGCCGTTTTTGAGATAAAAAAATAATTTCTTGGTATTTTTCACTCTATATAAATGGTTCCTATTGTCGGATATCAAAAACATTCAGGTTCTTTGTCTCGTATTTTTGCAAAATTAAAATATTAATTTCGTATTTTACAAGATAGATCATACTTCTTGTCAAACGAGAAGATAATCCTAAACCCGGTCCTGTTAGAGGCGTACACCTGCTAATGTTTACGTCTCCTGCATAGCTTATTGAATTTTAGTATAGATATATTTATTAGATATTGCTGTAAGCTTTAAATTGTTTAAAAGATAAAATATCTCTTTTTTCAGATAATTCAAACACCAAGCTTATGGGAGTCCTATGCACTAAATAACATTCACCTGAACAACCAAGAAAGAACAAACTCATCAGGTTGCACTAGCTATTGTACTCTAGTCTAGTAGTGTCGGTTAGAAAAAATTTAACATGAAGATATTTAAAACTTATAAAATGTAGGTAGGCTCTTGCTTCTTGATAGAATGATCACAAGTCCGCATTGTTATAAAAGAATCGGTGAGTGAAATTTAAGAATTTTTTACCAGACACTCGTGATTTTGCCATAATTGACCCGGCCAGAGGCCTTATTGAAGTCTCCTAACATACGCCAAAAATAAAAGCAGAACAATATTTCTATTAAAAATTCTTTATTTCTATTAAAAATTCTTAAATTCTAGTTTTATTAAAAATAAAAACACATCAATTTGTTATAAAGCTTTATTACCCAATACCCTGGTCCAGTTTGAGATCTCTTTAATCCCCAGTAGTCTGGAACAAGATCATACCTGTCTAGTGTTATGATCGTGCACGTCTCCTAAAGCGCCTTCAGCTCCTGTTAACAAACATAAGATTCTCAAAGATATGAAAGGAAGGCACAGTAAGAGTTCCAAGAGTCTCATAGGCCAATCTGCAATCGTTCCTAAACCAAGACCTACAAGAACTCTCATAGCATTACGTTTCAAACCAAATACTCTCGGCATTCCCACCCTCTATGCCCTAGACCAAGATTGCATAAAATACGTCAGATGAAAGTGAAAATAGCTTAATAAGCTCGTAATAAGACCTCGTGTGGAACGCCTGATGCTAGATTTCTGAGCACATATAGATTCTTTAAAAGATTTTTACTCAGAGTCAATATAATAAGTCTTTGCTTCTTAAGTGGGAGCCTATTGGTACAGAACCGCTCTTTGATGCTTGACTATACAGGCCTAGAACCCCTAAGAGAGTCCACAAGTGTGTCAGCTGCAAAAACCTTGGTGTCATCAGCGAAGAGTGTGTATCAGACGTTCGGAGATTAACATACCAGCTTGCTATCAGAAATAACCTTTCCCATCCCTCTTCAGAAAGAGATGGTAATTCCGGTAAAAAGTAGCTCCGAAATTTCCTCAGACGGCATCCCAATCTATCTGTAAGAAAACCGCAGGGGATTTCAAAAAAACAGAATAAAAAGTTTTACCCCAGAAAATATCAACCGTTTTTTTGATATTCTGATATTCTGGAACCAGCTATGGAGAAGATAAATTTTAACCCCTAAGAGTGTATAATGTTGATGAAACAGGTATCACTACCGTACAATCCAAGATTGCTAGGATCATCGCTCATAAACCTTGGTGTCATCAGCGAAGAGTGTGTATGTAGCGTTTAGTTAAAACATTTCCTCGATATCTATCTGAATCAGTTGGAGTAGTTATCCTTAAACGTTAACGATACTTGGTAGCAACACTATTTGTTGTTTTACTCTGGTTATAGGACCCTTCAAAGCTACATATATGCAATCATTATACAGAATAAGTAACTACATTCAGCTTTCCGATACGTTTAATATAAAAGATGATAAAAAATATACCCCTACCTATTTGTTGTAAGTTTTAGTTTCTTTACAAACATATTAATATATTATTTTAGGTAAATAAGCTTTTTAATCAATAGGAATGCTGTAATTTTTATATAAAAAGATATTAACACTAGCTTGGATATATGAAACTATAATATTACCTTAAATATATATCAGAAACGACTAGTCCACACTGTTTTTGTTCGAAAGATTTATAAATTATAATTATTGTAGGATATATATTTTTTAAAGTTAAAGTATATGTACATTTATTGATATATTTCTTCTGCTGCTATACCGTCATTATCACATAAATTTCATAAAGGAACCATTTTATTGTTTTATATTTTTTCACTTTGCCAATGATTCAACTAAAAACATTTAAGCTTTAGATTCCAAACAATTTGATACAAACTACTTGGTCAGTATTTTTAAATGCATCGAATGTATTTTATATCACCATCATAAACTAAGTCAGTGTAGTTTAGTTTGGCCAATTTTCCATGCCTAGGTATACTTAATAGTTTTGGAGATTTTTTCTAAATAACTTTTTTTGGTATAGCTAACAGATATGACTTTGTGACTTTATCAGAAGAATTGCGTCACCTTGTATATTTCTTATCGTTACGTATTTTATTATTCCGAGTGTGCTGCATTTTTTGTAGGATAAATTTCCATAATTGAAGATTCCTTGGAGAATCTCTTCAGATTCGACATGTGTTAAGTGAAAAATTCATATACAAGTTAACATATAAGGCAAACAAAAATGTGAAGTCTGTTTGAAAATGGCACGAGTCCTGATTTTATGCACCTTTATAATTAACCGGAAGTTTTATTCAATTAATAACTTATTTATTTATTTAATTAATTGGACTTATGTCCCGGCGGCTTAATTAATGTATGATGCACTTTCATAAATAACGTTGCTCAGTGAGATTCTAATAGCAATAAGAGATTATGTTGTACCATACATACTAAAAATATATTATTTTGGTTGAAATTTGTGTGAAAATGATCGAACATTCAAAATATCATTTGTTTTGTATTATATAATAGTACTTTACGTTGTTAATATTGGTTTTTAATAAATATTTATAAATCTGAGTATCTCATAATTTTCCTTATGGTTTTCAACGTTTTATTTTATTTGGGGTGTAATACACACCAACTACCTTAACTCCTAGGTTATGAGTGTCACATGTTTCAATGCATCTAATTCAATCCCACACTTTAAACTATAATCCAAATTCAATAGGATTGTAAGGCAGACGTTTTGTAGTTCGTAAACACTTCATAGTAAGTGGCTATATATTTATTTATTTATTAGCACACAAATCCACTTCTCAATTACCTATATCTTTTGCCGGTTACATCTAATATAAGTCCGAAGTGAATAAAGTATACTCGCCTTGTTGCGAAATTTATTATTTAGTACCGCGTGCAGCTTATCAGTGTCGTTGAGGTATACCTGAAAGTCAAGAGAGAGACTAGCGAACAGTGTTATCTCTTTCGAAAGTAATATTCTTATTGTAATACTGCAACATTGTTAAAACTCGCCGGCAAATAGTGGAGATAAATATTAAAATCAGGTGGTCAGAAGTATTTCATGAGCGCACAGTCGGGTAACCTGGCATTGACACCAACGTGAAGTACATCTATTGACAAACCGGATAAAAAGTAGTGGTTGTTTGTGAAAGAAAAACAAATGATTAAATCGGTTTATACAAGAAAGAAAGATATGTTTATAGAGAACGTCGCGGCATTTTGTGGTGATTTAACAAAAGTGTCAGTTTGTATGGTTTTCTGAATAATTCAAGGTAATAAACGACTTCGAAAACCTATTCATAAGGGACATACAAAAATTGTATTGGACGATATTACGAAAAGTATAATCCGAAGAAAAGTTCATGGATTTTATTTTAGGAACGAAATACCCACGTCAAAGGCTATTCAACGAGAAATTAATGTAGAGGCAGATGATACTTTAAATAAAATATCCATGAACATTACGTGAAATGGATTTTGTCACAAGGTTGTTCATCGAGAGAGATGAACTAGTGATATGGTGGAGAGAATATTAACAAAAAATTCGTGATTTTTAGACGTAAAGATAAAAAAGTAGATAAAAAAACGGGTGTGGCAGTTCAGTGGGACTGTCGGTAGAAGTTATACTATTATACACGCGTTCGCCGTTACAAATTTATATGGGAGTTAATCTGCACAATCATTACATATGTAATGCTATAGGTAAGAGAGAGAGCAGAAAGAGAAAAAGAATTAGTTATATAGGTATATGGTGCATCGTTTGCTGTATATAAACATTTCACCTGTAATAGGAGTATAGTAAATGAAGGATTGTATCAATATTTTAATGAAAATATATATTTTTATTTTCATATATTTGTATAAAAGGAGTTGAATGCAAAAAAATTGTATACATATACTCTGCAGTAAAATTCATTGTTTATTTTGTTATTAATATAAAAATTACAATACAATAAATACACTGCAACATAATTCAATATAATAATACAATATAAATTAAAATGCAATATTCATAAGTATTTAAAACTGCCAATATACATAACTTACTTTACGAAGATAAATATAAAAAACCAACAACTCGGATTATGTTGTGAATTTTTATTTTATTTTAAAATTTAGCATTTTTGCGTATATTACATATATTTAATAAGATTAATGTGTGGTTTTTAAATATTTCAAAAATAAAAAGGGAAAACCAAACACGTAAAGGATTTGCCAATTATACATGACACTAACAGATTTTAAAACTGACAGTGGTCAGAAAATTGATATAGTGGTACTTACTAAAATTTAAAAAGTGTCAAGGAAACGAAATAATAGAAGAATATGTTTATTACTAAAGCGGAGTAAATAAAAAGCAAAAAGGGGTGTGTGTAGCAATAAGGAAAAAATATAATAAATATGTCAAGGATTGAACAGCCATAAATGAAAGAACATAACAGTATATGCCCCCAATTTTGACACTAAAGGAGAATAAAAAGATCAGTTCGAAGAAATTCTACAAGAAATAGAGTAGAGGAAAGTCGCCTAATATTGGATATTGCGTTATCTCAAAACCTATTAACAGTTTTCTGTAATTAAATGCACAAAACTAAAGGTTTCTAACAAAGTGATTCTGTGTAAAGTTATAGAAAGTCATTATATACTGCTAGATGGAACCATATGTTTTTCCGAGATAAGAGTTTGTTGTTTATCCTACTGAAAACTGTTATAAAAGGGTAAGTACTGACAGTATTAAAGTGAAATTTGGCAGGTATATTCTTGAATAGTTGTAGAATAAGATTCAATATTTAAATTGAACATAGCTGCCTACAGGCTGATCTGTCGTTTTTGAGGGGGAGATCTCCCACCTTTCTTGGGTAGTTTGATAACATTTTAGAGGAACCACGTTACTTCTAGTTGGGCGATCTTTGAGGACAGCCGCTCGCAGATATTACCGTCTCTGTGCTTTTTTTAGTGTATATACACCTATATAGTTTGAGTTTCTAAATCTAATACTATATTAGATTAAATATAGTTATAAAGTATCTTTTAATTTAAATAACTTCAGTGCTTGATACAAGTAAAGTATTATAGTAAAGTATATTAACTTGAGTGCAGTGTAGCAGTCATCGAGAATTACTGTAAGTTATCATAATCATAGTATCTTCAATTATCTGAGCGAATCTACGTTCATCCATGTCTTCACCTGTAGTTAAGATTAACTACCGATTTAACAATTGAATTAAAAGAACATTTAATATTTTTATCTGAACTTTCAACCAGTTTTTAAGATCTTCTAAATTACGAACATTTAATTCTCAGTTAATCATTAAACAACAGTGCGAACAGATAATTAACTTAACCAAGTGCTGTTTGGTTAAATTTTTATTTCTGGAATCTTTTTGTATTCTTTGAATTTAACTTTAAAAAACTTTGTGTTATTTGTTATTCATTTTTTTTCTTTACTATATTATCTCGAGGTAAGCCTTTACACAGCAAAGAGAGCTTTGCTTTATTTGATCTGTAAAGGTATTTCCTGATTATAAAACTGTTCATTTCTATATGTATACAACCATTGATCAATTGATGGTGCATTTTTTATTACTTGTGTATACATTCAGCTGCCTATATCATTGTGTTGTTGAATATATTGTTTTTGTTTTATAAATGAATTTTATTTCTCGACTCCTAACAAGTTTCCCGATATAACAATAAGTACCTCTAAATATTAGCTTATTATATTAAATTATTATTATACCTTCGACCAGAAGAAAGATCAGGCTGATTAAGTTTCGTAGGTAAATAGGTGAACGGAGTCCACCTAATATATTTACTATTTGTTTATGTAGAGTGTTGACCAAATTTATTTAATTATTAACTCAGGACATAAATATCTTATCATAAGGCCATACAATCATCAAAAGATGGCAGAGCGACTGGTCCTGATGACTTTCCAACTGAAATATATAAGCTTATAAAGGATAGCAATGTTTTAGAGGCTATAACTTCGTTTTTCAATACCATTTATGCCAGCGGACAACTACCTAATGGTTGGTCTAACTCACTGTTTATAGCTCTACCTAAGAAGACAACGGCAAAAACCTGTGCTGATTATAGAACCATCAGTTTGTTAAACCACTTATTGAAAATTTTTCTGAAGGTAATACATGGTCGTATCTACAATAAATGTGAGGAATACCTGGATGACACTCAGTTTGGTTTCCGTAACGGATTTGGAAAGAGAGAGGCACTGTTTGGAATGAACGTACTTGCTCAAAGATGTCGTGATATATCTGTAGACATATACTGTTTTTTTATTGACTTTCAAAAGGCATTTGATCGTGTTAAGCACTCTATATTGATCGAAGCTCTAAAAGACATTGGCTTGGACGGCAGAGATGTTCGAATAATTGCAAATTTATATTGGAATCAAACAACATCAGTTTTAGTAGATGGTGTGGAATCACAAGCTCTCAATATTAAAAGAGGAGTACGGCAGGGATGCCTCTTGTCACCCCTGCTTTTTAACGTTTACTCCGAAAGAATTTTCAGAAAAGCACTTTCTGAAAAACAAGAAGGAATACTTGTGAACGGCGAAGTCATCAATAATTTGCGATATGCGGACGATACAGTACTCCTAGCTTCTAGTCAAGAAGATCTGCAAACACTACTTGATAGCGTCGTTGAGAGTTGTAGGGAGGCAGGTCTGGATCTTAACATAAGGAAAACCAAAATACTCGTAATAAGTAAACAACAGAATATAAAACCGTCTATATATGTAAATAATACCAAACTTGAGCAAGTTGATAAAATCGTCTACCTTGGACAGCAATTAAATTGTAATGCAGAAAATCACGGCGAAATTAGATCCAGAATAGAGCAGGCTAGAGCTGCTTTTAGAAGGATGTCCAAGGTGTTATGTAACAAAGACCTAAAATTGGCATTAAGGATCCGCCTGTAATGAAATGCAAAACCTTTATAAACTAGGTTTTAATATACAAGAAATTAGCATTGTTTTGTTTGAATGAATAACATGACAATTACATATGACATTAACTAAAACTAAGATGACAAATGACAAACACAGTTCACAGACCACAGGACATTCACCCCAACTTTATTTTTGAACAAAGTCTTTAAGGTAAGCAGGAGTGTTTCTTTCCCTGGTACCTCTTCTAATAAGACTGTGTTTATTTTCTTCCTCTAAAACACTTTCAATATGACCTTGATCTTCCAGAATGTTAACAGGAGAAATATTTGGATTTTCCTCACATATACTCAATCTAGGGCTTGGTGGATCTTTGATAAACTGTTCATTAGAAACCGCAGATTCCGATCCACTAACACAGTCCAGAGATGCATCTCCTCGTGGTGCAAGTTGTCTTAAGGCTACTGTTGTTTCTTTACCATCTTCACGTCTAACAACAGCATAGTTTGGATTTGCTTCAATTAGCTGTACTTCTTCAACGAGGGGTTTAATATACAAGAAATATCAAATATGGATAAGCTACTACGACCAGACAGATTCGATGCTGATCCTAACTCTCCTAGATCGTCTCAAGAATGGATGCATTGGAAAGCTACCTTTGAAAACTTTATTTCCTCTGTGATTGATGTTTCAGAGGAGGAGAAATTCAAACTACTGGTAAATTACGTGAGCAACAATATCTATGAACTCATCTCTGATTGTAGAAAGTATTCTGAAGCCAAAAGTATTCTTGAAGCAGCTTTTGTTAAACCCAAAAATGAAATTTTTGCCAGACATATCCTAATGACAAAAAAAACAACAAACTGGTGAAAATATAGGTCAATACGTTCAACATCTTAAAGTGCTTTCCAAAGACTGTAATTTTCTAGCCGTTTCTGCAGACCAAAATAGAGAAGATTATATAAGAGACTCTTTTATTAATGGCATTCTTTCTAATGACATAAGACAACGTTTACTAGAAAACAACACTATTACTCTGCAAGATGCCATAGTAAAAGCCCAGTCTCTGGAGTCAGCTTCAAAACACTCTGAGGCTTATACAACTCCTGTACAAATTATTAATGCAATTTCTTCTGAAACCAGAGAGCACACTAATTATACTTCTGCTGCTGTGAAAAGTTGGAAATGTTACTTTTGTGGATCAACTGAAAGGCATCCTCGTAGCCTATGCCCTGCTAGAGACAAAGTTTGTAAGAAATGCTCGAAAGTTGGACATTTTTTCCAAGGTATGTAGGCTTCAGATGCCCAATTCAGTATCAGCTGCTGTTTTAGCTACTACTACATCTAGTTCGAATGTTAGAAATCTTGCTGCTGCCCCTCAATGCTTATCTAAAAGTGTTACTGAGATAAAGGTGAATGGAAATACAGCTGAAAGTTTAATAGACACAGGTAGTTCTGAGTCATATATCAGTAAGAATTATGCATTGTCTATAAACGTGAAAACATTTAGAAGTCATGCAAGCATAATAATGGCTTCAACAGCACTCAGAACGACTATCTCAGGACACTGCTTTGTTAATTTAGAAATAAACGAACATTCATATAAAAATGTCAAATTATCAATAATTCAAGATTTATGTGCTGATGTAGTTATAGGTCATGACTTGCTTAAACAACATTCTTCTCTAGAAATCACTTTTGCTGGCTCAAAACTGCCTTTAGTTATTGATCATATAGATAACATTTGTAGTTTGGCATACTTAAATATAGAGCCACCCAAATTATTCTCCAATCTATCAAATGATTGCAAACCGAGGGCAACTAAATCAAGAAAATTTTCAACTGAAGATAGAAAATTCATATCTGACGAGATACAGTATCTGCTATCGAATGGAATCATAGAAGAAAGCAACTCTCCTTGGCGTGCACAAGTACTTATTACAAAAAGTGAAACACACAAAAAGCGAATGGTGGTAGATTATTCACAAACAATTAATAAATTTACTTACTTAGATGCCTATCCTCTCCCAGATGTTGAAGATATTGTTAGAAAAGTAGCAAGATATTCTGTCTTCAGTACTATTGATCTTAAAAATGCATACCATCAAATTCCAATTAAAAATGAAGAGAAAATATACACTGCTTTTGAAGCCAACGGCCAACTATACCAATTTTGCCGGATTCCTTTTGGGGTAACCAACGGAGTGGCTTGTTTTCAAAGGGTTATCGATGGTATTATTAAATCCGAACATTTAAAAGGTGTGTATGCATATCTTGATGACATTACGGTTTGTGGATTAAATCAACAACAACATAATGAAAATCTTAATAAATTTATGGAAGTAGCGAAGAAATACAATCTAACAATAAATCAAAATAAAAGTTCTTATACACTAAATTCAATCAAACTTTTGGGTTATCAAATAGAAAATCAGACCTTAAAACCTGATCCTGAAAGACTTGAACCATTAAAGAAGTTACCCTTACCAAACGATTCACAATCACTAAAGAGAGCTGTCGGAATGTTTGCACATTATTCCAAATTTATCCCACAATTTTCAGAAAAGATACAAAAACTAGTCACATGCAATACTTTTCCTTTAACAGAACAAGCAGCTGAAGCTTTCCAAATTCTTAAATCTGAAATTATTTCTTCAGCTGTTACTACAATTGATGACAAGATTCCTTTTATCGTTGAATCTGATGCTTCAGATTTTTGTATTGCTGCTTCTCTTAGCCAAGGAGGAAGACCTGTTGCTTTCTTTTCAAGAACCTTATCAAAAAGTGAAAGAAATCATTCATCAGTGGAAAAAGAGGCTTATGCAATAGTGGAAGCTCTTAGAAAATGGAGACATTTCTTGATAGGTAAACATTTTCGACTTATAACTGATCAAAAGTCTGTCTCTTTTATGTTCAATATGCGCCACACTAGTAAGATAAAAAATGAGAAGATTATCAGATGGCGCCTTGAATTATCATGCTACAGTTTCGATATTCAGTACCGACCAGGAGTTGAGAATGTAGTGCCAGATACTTTCTCACGAGTGAGCTGTTCAATAAATCCTCGAACAAAGTCTTTAAGGTAAGCAGGAGTGTTTCTTTCCCTGGTACCTCTTCTAATAAGACTGTGTTTATTTTCTTCCTCTAAAACACTTTCAATATGACCTTGATCTTCCAGAATGTTAACAGGAGAGCGCCTACTTCGCTGCTACGTGTTCTCGGTCTTACTTTATACTATCGAGTCCTGGACTATGAATAAAATCGATCTAAATCGCCTTGAGGCTTTCGAAATGTGGTGCTATAGAAGAATTTTAAAAGTTTCCTGGGTGGAGAAGATTCGTAACTCCACATTACTAGAACGTCTCAGCAAGACTACTGAGATCATAAAAAGCATCAAGCAGAGAAAGCTGGAACATTTCGGACATGTAATGAGAGGTCCCAAATATAGATTGCTACAAAATATCATGCAAGGAAAAATAGCAAACGCAGTCCAGGACGAAGAAGAACCTCATGGTTGAAGAACTTGCGAGATTGGTATGGTGTAGATACAAGCATGCTATTTAGGGTGGCAGTGAATAAAATTAAAATAGCTATGATGGTAACCAACGTTCTGAAAGGACATGGTACTTGAAGAAGAAGATAAATATCTTTCCTTATCTCTTTTCTTTTTCTCTTATCCAATCTTTGGTCATTTTACCAATCTATCTTTTTGTTTATTTCTTTATCCTTTCTCATATATATTATCTTGTCCTATTTTTACTTATTTCGTCCGTTGGACCCATTCCCGGTTTCAAAAGCTAGTTTCGAACCCACGACTCACTCTCCACCAACCATCTGGCTGCCGTCCGCAGTGTGTCCATTGGTGACCTCTCTAGCACCATCCAAAAAAGGTTTCCGAGGTTACAACATCTGGTAAAAATGTTTATTTCGTAGAATAGGTTATATTAAAATGTAATACGTAATAATAAAGGTAATATTTAGCGATAAGGCTCGCATATCCAGTCCAGTCTGCGTACATCTCAATCTATTACACTTATTAAACAATATATTTTTTACGTTTACAGACATCTTTCTTATAACATACTTAATACATATATTAAACAGTAGGAGCCAGCCCACCTCCCTGTTTTAGCCCCTTACTTATCTGGAAGAGATCTGTCAATTGGTTTGACTCATACTTGCACTTATGTGTGAGTCATGGTGGCTTTAACTAAATTTAACAATTTTCTCGGTATACCAAATTCTCATACTCATGTAAGGTACATTCATACAAAACAACAAATTATACAAACTAAATAAAATTTATTCATTTTAGTTACATACAATTTATATATTAAATTCTTTAATAAATCTTACAGTAGATTGGCATCCAATTAAAATATAAGTCAGAACTTTGTGAGTTTTTAGGAAAGAAATTAGGAATGCAGACTAGGTAGCTCATGTATTTAAATCAGCTTGGTCCTTTGTTTCTATCTCTTGGTAAATTAAATTAACTGGAGTTACCAAAAGCCTATTTTCACATTACACTCCTGAAGAAGTTACCTAAGTTCTAACACTAGTGTTCTAAAATATATCAAACTCAGAACATTATTTATTAATCAATCTCTGTATGTTAAAATCAATGCTCTTGTATCCCTTCATATATTTGCAATGTGACAAAAAGTTCTAATCATGTTGTCTCGTTCTCACTTTTTGGTAACCTCAATAGGACATCCTTTTTCCTCTGTAACAATTTGGCTTTTGTTTGTGAAACTGTTTCACACTCCGGTGCATAACACACATGTAGAATCCCACCATAAAAAGATGTAGCATCTAATAGCCTTTTAGCTATCCTTGCTGATTGTATTCTGCTATACTCAATATGGTAACATTCAGTAAAGGGAACATTGTTCGTATCTTCTACTACAGCTATAGATGCCACTCTTCCATATCTGAGACATCTAGTTTTTAACTCATGGTGTAATTTGAGTGAAGGTACACCATAGATGTAGAGATGTTGTGATTCCTGGTTAATTGTATACACCTAAAATGATATTTAATTTAATTAATAATCATGAAACTTATTGCCACCTATTGATTGTTCCAATAAGTTGTGCAGGCTAAGCAAACAATATATGAAGAGAAGTATAAATATTTACAAACACTTATATTGAATCATATCAAAGATGATTACAAAGACTTACTAAGATTTTATTACAGACTGCTTTATTAACTGTGATTTTTTTTTGGAGGTTATAAAAGACTACTGATTTTGACCGTCGCATGCGACGGGAGATCTATTCAATCAATACAGTCACTCATTAAATTCTTAACAATGGCGAGGGGCCGACAGAAGTGAATACTCATTATGTATATATATATATATATATATATATATATAATATATATAATATATATATATATATATATTTATAAATAAATATATATATATATATTTATAAATAAATATATATATATATATATATATAATATATATATATATATATATTTATATATTTTTTTTATAATAACATCACACATTCAACTTCTTTAACCTTTTGCCGGTAACGTAAATTCTTCTAACATAGTTGGTAACGTCGGTCTACGACACCGACTTTTGTAATAATGAATATCTTAGGTTGTGAATTTCTGTTAATATTTTGATATGACTAAATATTTAATATAACTATATTTAAATAACAATATAGTAAGAAATGATTAATATTTATTTACTTTCGAGAAAAAATGCACATTAAAAAAAATTGGCTTCTTTTAGGTACTATGGTACTTATGGTAACAAACATAAAAACAAGGGTTGAAATGTCACAAAAAAAATAAAATTATTCAACAGGTGTCCAACATAAACTGAAACTATTGTCCGTTTGCTTCCACATTTTCTTCTACACTGCACACAACGCATAGAAACACTGTCTAGAAAGAAACCGAGTTTTGCAGTTTTTCTTACTAGTGCAGAACGTACATCTTCCATACACATTATTCTGGATAGGTTGATCACTTGTCTGCATGCCACAAATTTCCACTAACCTCATACGAATTGTCCTTTGGACAATTGTCCTTTGGAATATTTTGTTTTAGGGCTCGTCTGTGAATATGTTCGTCAATAAGTTGAAAACCTAAGTCTTACAAAAACTTTCGTCTAGGAATGCGTATGTCTGTATTCGATTTGTGTATAATATTTGTCCACGACATCTACACCTCCTTTAGTCTTATTATAATCTATGATTATTTCTGGTTTACCTGTTGCATTATCAATGTTGTCATCGTAATGCATAGTATATAACGCAAACATTTTTACCCTTTCGGGGTACCGCCTGGATAAGTTTTTACTGCTAATACTGAATTTCTGTATCTCTTATTTATACATATGAAGTCTATTTGGTTACGAACAACTTGTTCAGGTGTATTAGCTGGTGATTTCCAGGTGTAAAGACGATGTTTTGGAAGTTTGAACATTGTGTTCGTTATTACTAATTGCTTTTCTATGCAAAAAGATGCCAACATATCTCCTCTTTCATTTCGCATTCCCAGACCACATTTCCCTATGATATCTTCCTGTTCACCTTCACCAATCTTTGCATTAAAATCTCCCATGATAATATTGAGATCGATTCCAAAGGATACCCAAGCCAAATGTATCCTTCTCTTTATTTCTCCAGTCTGATTTTCTTTATTTAATTTAACTAGTTATCCCAAATATACATATTCTTTTACTTGTTCTATAGTTGTTTCTGCAATTGTATGTATTAATACTTCTGGTTGGTTGGTCATCATTTTCGTTTTATTCATTTGTAGACCTATTTTTATAGAGTCGCTATTTAATTTGTAATTGTAATTAATTAATTAATTAATGTTAATTGGAAGTTATAAGAAAATTTAAGTTAATTGGAAGTTAAAAGGAATTTTTTATGAAAATAATTTATCAATGAATTGGGAATCTGTTTGTGGTAAAGATTTGTCTGTCAGTATTTCTATTTCTCTTACCTAAATCCACACAGTAACCTATATGCAAAATGTCCTATCTGGTCAGTTTGTATAATGCATTCATAGGGTATGGATGCTCGTAGACTGTGAGTTGTTTGTGAAAGAAATAGAATATGTCTGTAAGTTATTATGTACATATTAAATGATAATATTTGATTATTCTATCTAAAGTAATACAATTCTAAATTCAAACACTAAAAACTTAAAAGAAAATATAGTTTTTATAATTTCTTTTAGATAGGAGAATTTGCAAGTAGCCAATAACAAATCGCAATAAACTGATACAAGCATTTATGTGTCTCAATTGTATAGTGCAAATGTCTGAGAGATCTTGGCATATGCTATCAATGACTTACAAAAAGTTAGTTGTAAATAGAAATGACTAAAGATACTCAACTGGTAACAGAAATGATAAACTTTTATAAAATCGACAGATGAGTATATAGATACCTAAATTTATAAAATATGACTATATTTATAGAATTAAAGGTATCTCTGTCTAAGGACAATCATTTGAGTACTATGCTTACAGCAATGCAAAATTGTACAGAGCTGCAGAGTTTGACTTAAAAATGGCTTGAAATACTTTAACCGCAAATACTGTGGATAATAAACAATTGTATTATACCAAGTGATTTTGTTAATTACTATTTAACTGGAAATAAGCCACAATTAACGGTAAAAATATGTTTATTGATGTTTCAATTTCCACTTCGGAAATTGTTCTCAAATTTACGAAGTGGAAATTGAAACGTCAATAAACGTATTTTTACCGTTAATTGTGGCTTATTCCTAGTTAAATAGTAATTAATTTAAAATGCCACAAGAAAATAGCTTCAGAACAATATTAAGTGATTTTGTATCTGAAAAAAACACAGTTTTCGAATAATAGCAGTTTTGATAACAATAACTCTGTAAACCATACCTTAGATAATTTAACAAATAAACAAATATTGCCGCAAATTAAGCAAAATGAAACGGTGGTATCTCTTGTACCATATGAATGTTGTAGTGATGAAGACAAAAATGAACAACAAAGATTTTATTCACCTTGACTGCAGTTAATTTTCGTCCTTGTCTGTAGGCCGGCCTGCTCGTACATAATTCCAATTGATTGTGGTGACTTTTATTTAAGTTCATATTGAACATTTATTTTATTTAAAACAAATTATAGCAAACTGTTGTAGCACTCTGCTATACCATTATCAATATTTTCCTTTGTTTATGACATAAAACATAGATAAGACTGATAACAGCATAGACATATAATACTTATAATAATACAAGTAGTATTATTAAATAATTTATTATACCAAAGAAAAGAATAATATGCTTAATTGGCAAAAGTATAGAGAAAGTGCCGTAGTGCCGATGAATTTGACATAAACGTCATGTCAAATTTGTGTTTGCAGTATTGCCATGTCTGTAGTATGTATATGTTTTATGCCTCAAATATGCTTTGAAACAGTTCATTTTTATTATATTATTTTATAAAATCGGGTATTTTTTAAAAAATTTTAAATTCATATGAAATACGAACGAATGAATATTTGTTTCTTTTGATATTAGTTGTAGTTAGTTATTAGAAAAAAAATTATAATTGGCCATTGGTAGATTAGTAAATAAACTTGGCAATACTGTCAAAAGTAGTTGCCAGATTGCAACAGATGTTTAGCAGATTTCAATTTTATGAATATTTTCTTGTAATTTTGGGATGAAATGGTATCTGAATAAAAGCTTAAAAAATTAAAGTTAATTTAAATTATAATTAATTAAATTTAAATTAATTAAACTTTTTTTAAAAACCTAAAAAGAATGTTTAATTAATTAATATGCTCTTTCGTGATTTATTTGTGATATGACAAATGACAACACCGCAAACACAAATTTGACATGACGTTTATGCCAACTTCATTGGCACTTTCTCTTCTCTACTCTATACCACCGAACAACTTCTGCCGCTTATAATAATATAATTTTGATTGATTTTCAGGAGATATTTAAAAATAAGGCAGAGACCATTTTCAAAGTTATTACAAAAAAAAATGTGTATTTAAAACTATTTTGGATGTTGAGACATTCAATATATTGTGGCTTATTCCCAAATTCTCCTGAACATGCAGAATGCCACAAGCAAAATGCTATAGAATAATATAATGAAAATAAACAACTAAACTTTTCTATTATAGGAGATGCGGGATATCCATTGCAACCATGGCTTCTTACCCCCATGGAAAATTTTCCAGAAGATTCCCCTGAAGGGAGATACACACGTCAACACATTTTGACAAGAAATACAGTTGAACGATGTTTTGGATTACTAAAACAGCGCTTTAGGTGCCTTCTAAAACATAGAGTCCTTCATTACGCACCACAAAAAGCTGCCAAAATTGTGTTGCCTTGTGTGGTACTTCACAATTTAGTTATAGATAGAGACCTACATTCGCCAGAAGACATAGAAGTGGAACATGAAGATGTAAATCACCCTGTACAAGGGTATAGACAAAAAAATGTGCTTACTTAAAAGAAAAAACATTTTTTTTGTTTTATTACAGGACCTCAAAACTACCTAAACGATGGCAGGAGAATTCAGGAGCAACTAATTGAAAGACATTTTAGATAAATTAAACTTTATTAAAATAATTTGTCAAAATTATCTAAATTTCCAAAATGTTTTAAATATTCAAATTTTAATTTGGCCTTTTCCACCACAGCTAGTTCTGTTGTGCTCTCCTTATAGGCAGAAGTAAATTTGTCAAGGCTTTTAGCCAATTCAAGAATATGTTTCCCCTTTGATTGTTCAGTAACTTGTAATACTTTTTGGGCCTCAGCAAATGCAGTACATGCGGACTGCAACATTTTTGTCCTGTATCTACTGCTGGTAGTTGGCTCTGCAGTTCTTGGAGTACCGTATTCTATGAATAAAAGAATTATTAATGTATATTTAAGAAAAAAGTGTTAGGATTACCTTTTTTGTTCGTTGATGATTGTTTCACAGTAAATCCTCCTAAAAATGAAATTTAAGAATAGGTATCATATTTGATATTTTACATGGGTATTTCTAAACAAAAACTATATTTTTAATGTCACACCTTTAGAAAATATTTAAAATATTACCAATTTTTTTGTTAATTAACTTTAAGAAATAAAGTGTTTATACAGAAGTGCATAAAAAATCCAATATTCTTTTAATACATACAATTAACATATTTGCAAATTTAAAAAACAAAAAATTATTAAACTTTAATTACTTTACATTCAAATATAGAAATATTGTTTTAAACTGGATCTTGAATTTTTTTATATTGTTTATAGTTTTTAATTTTGAAGGCAAATTATTTGTATATAATTGTATATATTTGTAATTTGTATAATATATTATATATTTGTATATCTTAATTTAATATTTTTTATTGTTTATTCTTATTTATAGTTTCAATAGTGTAAAAATCTCTTTTCACGTTATGTCACACCTGGATATTTTATCATATTTTCTGTCTTTTGGTTATAACTGAAAATTGAATTAATTAATTGTAAATATGCAGAACATTTAAACTAACTTGTTCAATATTTATATGGTGAATTAAGAATGTATAATTCATAGTTTTTTTATGTTTTTACTATCACAACAAATTTTGTCTCCAGTGTTATCTGAACTGAATGCACTTTGTTTTTTTTTTAATTAGAAAATAAATACATGTATATACCTTCTTCAGTTTGCCTTTCCTCCACCTCCCCCTCGTCCTGTGTGTGATCTAATAAAGAATCTACAATAAATGTTTGTTTTATTTATACAAAACCATAAATATTTGAACATACCATTTGCAGATTCCTCCATTTTTGTCGTATAGTTGTGGAGTGTTTCTACTAAAGGAATATCTAAAATAAGGAATATTTTCAAAAAGTTAGTTTTAAAATTTTACGAAATCTTACCTTCAACAAATATCAAATCTGTTTCTTCAACATCTGTAACATCTACTGTTAATGCTGCAAAAAAAGCTATTAAAACATTTTGTTAATTAATTGATCATTTCTCTTACCACTGGTAGAAGGTAGAAGCACCCTGTATATACTATATTATTTATCTATGGAAGCACCGAACTTGAAAAGTATCCAAGATCTCGATCTCAGTATCCCCTAAACACAGCTTGTCACATAATCAAAGATTGAAGTTGACATAGTTGCCAAAGTATAAAAAAATCCTGACTCCATTTTAAATCAAATCATGGACGCATCGAGCAAAAAGATAAAAGAGGGAATCGATGGAGGGAATCTAATCATTATGAAAAGGAGACCAAAAAAGTGGCCTCTGATGGCGGACATATCCGGAAATGCAAAGGCGCTAAATTTAAATTTTCCAACACTTATTAACAATAGCTATAAAATATTTTTCAGATGAGAAAGTTTTAATTAAATATTAACTATAATAGTCTAAAAAGTGACACAATAGGTAAAAGATTTCAATATAAATAAAATTTCATGTGACAGTTGGGACAAACAATAACATAACCTAACTAAATTTGACTTCTTAAACAAGGAAAGAGACTGTCTATCCTTGTCTAAAGTGGCCTCTCAAGATGGCACTTCCTGTCTATCAATATGTTTACCCCCACTACCTTTATATTCCCTCTTTTGTCTTATTGCTCGATGCATGGACGTCAAATAGATTACATAATTATTGCAAAAGTATTACCATCTCTTTACAACGACTATTTAAATTCTTATGTGACATTTTTAAAATAAAACACACTAATTTTGTTCTAACAAGAACAGATTTTATTAAATAGTTAAAAATATAAAACAAGAGATATTCACTTTAAAATTCAAAATAATGAAGTACAAAAAGTGTCAACACCGCAACTGTCACATAAGTGTTACCAATTTATGCCAAAATTTTACCTTCGTTCGATTACAGTTACAGTGTGTTCCGAACAAATGTTCTTGATAAAAACGCTTTATAATGCATTTATACAAATTAAATGAAACATATTATTGTGTATTTCTTTAAGTTAACATTAATAGAAATTTTTAAATATTATTTCTACGCGTATATAATAAAATATGTCTAGTGGCTGTAATGCCAGTGTACTCGGTAATGTGATTCTAAAAAAGAACACACCTACACCCTAAATATTTTGTGTTGGTATCATGTGACGTCACAGGCTATGTCGCCGATGACGTGCATCGTTATATAAATTAGATGAAGTGTATGTATACTGTGGAGAAGCCATCGAGCAAAAAGACAAAAGAGGGAATGTAAAGGTAGTGGGGGTAAACATATTGATAGACAGGAAGTGCCATCTTGAGAGGCCACTTTAGACAAGGATAGACAGTCTCTTTCCTTGTTTAAGAAGTCAAATTTAGTTAGGTTATGTTATTGTTTGTCCCAACTGTCACATGAAATTTTATTTATATTGAAATCTTTTACCTATTGTGTCACTTTTAGACTATTATAGTTAATATTTAATTAAAACTTTCTCGTCTGAAAAATATTTTATAGCTATTGTTAATAAGTGTTGGAAAATTTAAATTTAGCGCCTTTGCATTTCCGGATATGTCCGCCATCAGAGGCCACTTTTTTGGTCTCCTTTTCATAACGATTAGATTCCCTCTTTTATCTTTTTGCTCGATGGGTGTCCATCATTGGTCCATCCATTTTATATAATTTTAGTTGGCCATCCTGATTATTCGTCTAGGTTGTTTCTTCTTTTTGTTTCTTCCATGTTAAATTTTCATACACACCGTGGTGAATTGGTGATACTGATTGATACACAGATCACCTACCTCCGATTGATACGCCACGCCGGCCGATCCGATATACTTTATGCTGTGACGCCAGCTCTATTTTGTTTTTTGTTATTGTTTATTTTTTTTTACAAGTACAGAGGGAATATCATTTTTTGAGGGTATTTTAAATTTTACAGTTATTTTGTACCTTGTAGTTATTTTGTCCACCGTATTTGGAGATTTGGACATTTATAATACAAGCAAAGAATTATAGAGACATTACCAAATATTACTAAAACATATAAAATCATGTTTAATCAAACTGAAGTAAAGCAAGAAGTGGGTGAAACGACTTGCAAACTAGAAATAGATAATGAAGTAGATGAAGATCTAAAGGATACCTTTAAAATTGAAATTAAGGAGGAACCTGCCAGGGAAAGTACTTATGATACATTTGATTATTTGGACGTTAAGAAATGTCCTATAAAAGCGGAAATAGAACAAGATGATGGTAAGTAAATAACGAGTAGTTATGTATTTTTAAGCCAGCTCCCTATTATCTTGTGGACTTATTAAAATATTCCTTTTCATTCTCTAAAACTAGGGATTTTCGACAAGGATCATTATAAAGATTTTAAATGTGATGATGATACATATCTTAAACCTAAGGTAATAAGTAGTAAGAATAAGGTCAGTTTTTGTTGGTTCTCAGGATTTTTCACCACTGTCTCCTCCAAATCTTCATATCTTCTTAGAGTACAAGTCAGTTTATGCCATAAAGTTTGTTCCCAATACATTGAACTCATATTGTTTCTATTAATATAAGTCCAAGCTCTAGATATATTATGAAGTATAAAGAGTAATTATAAGTATACTTTCTGGAAAACACATTTATTTGACTTAGTATACTCTTACTACTTACCATCTTAATTAATATAACTTAAATTAGAAATTGTGATAAAAAATATGACATCAAATATGTTAAGTAAATTTATTTAAAGTAGAAATTATAGGGTAGGGCATTTATTTTAAATAGCTGCATCAATTACTTCCCACATTTGTTACAAGTTTAAAATTCGTTCAGGAATTGTAACCAAACCAAATTAGCTTCTCTGATATTTTCTATTGAAAGAAATGTGGAAGAACAAAGGAATGTATCTGAACAGAATGCAATTCAATTTATTGAATTACATAGTGTTCTGCTTTGATACACTTAGAAATGTGTTAAATAGGTTCCAAAATAGGCTAGGACTCTGTCAGATGGTTGGATAGTAGATAGTAGTCAGAAACATTGACATTTTGAGCATATAAATTAATTTTTTTGTTTAACACTAAAAAATGTATTTGTATACAAGTTTTCTTTTTTATTTCCATGAAAATATACAGTGCATTCCATCTAAAAAAGATGCTACCTACATCATTGCTTAAAGGTGGTTGACTCTTGGCTAGGACTTTAAAAATTTAAACTGTTGTAATACATTTTATTATGGTATTACTGTCTTAAGAAACTTTTGTAAGTGTAATATCAATTTGAAGATGTTTATTAAAAACTCCTTTTATTCTTTCTTTTAGAATGCTTGGTTCATTTGTATCCATTTTTAAACCATTCATTGCAATGTTGTTTTTTCTTCTATTTTTTTTGCGATTATTTCAACTTCTCCTGATTCTCTTTTTTAATTTTTCGTTTTCTACTGTCAGTTTTAGTAGAGCTTCGTTTGTTTTGTTTTGTTGGTCTTTAATTTCTCTTATTTCAGTTTTTATTTCTTTCTGTTCTTGCTTCATATATTTTTGAGTTGTGTTCATTTCTTTCATCATTATTAATAACTGGTCTAATTTCTCAGATTCGGTTGTTTGGCGTTTTGTAGGAGTTCTTGGTGTTTTTTTGCTGTTTACAAAAAAAATCTATATTTTCTCCTTTTCTTTTTCTCCCTTCATCTGTAGAGTATTTGTCGCTGTCCATTCTTACAATATTTTCCTTGGACTTTTCTTGTTATTTCGCTGTTTATCTCCTTCCCAGGCCTACACAGCGAAAAGAGTCATCGACCAGTCAACCCGTCGAATCTCCGACTCTTATCGGTGTTTATATGTGGGTCACGTCTACCGAGTTACTTTTAGTTGTAAGTCCCGTTTTCCGAGTTTTCTTACAGCCGAAAATTAAAACGATATTTATTCACCAACGCCACTTTGCCGTCGATTTTAGTGTATGGTCACCTTTATTGTAGCGAACCGTAATTGCTTTTTGGCAAAAACGTTACTTTCAATATAAAAAGTTAATATGTTGTAATATGTGGATAGTTTGCCTACAGATTAACATACTACATACAATTGACCATGAGAGAAACAATTATTTTTGTAATCACTCCACAAACATGGCGAATTCAAGACAAATCAGATATTAAAGTTGTTTAAATTCTAGGAATGAGAACTTGCTCATCCTTAAATTTTCCTTCTGAGTATAATCACATATAATATATTGCCTATGAGTTTTCACACCACGAATTGCATGCTATTATGTAAGTTTTAGTTGGTTCAGATCATAATAATGATGAGGACCTTTATTTATTTATTTATTTATTTATTGACGGGCTAAACCCCTCTTCAGTTTTTGTACAATATGTATAAAATACAGTATAAAATACAGTAAGATACATAAGCTAGCTACAACAGTTTTTTAACATGTTTTTTAAATGATGCAGTTGAAGTATTAAATAATTCTAAATCTGTTCGGTAATTGTTCGCTGTACGTAACATCCTAGAAATAACTTCATTAAATCCATAATTAGTAGAATGGAAATCTACAAAAAACAGGTCAGAGTTATGGATTCTTTGCATAGGTATATTAAATGAGATTAAACCCAAAATTTCAGGGCAATTAATAAATCCATTTAGAAGCTTATGTAAAAAATATAATTCGAATTCAGCTCTTCTTGTCTCTAATTTGTTCATTTTAAGTTAATTAAGAATATAACTGTAATTATAATCTCCATGTCTTAAACCCATTTTATAACCATGTAACCTTAAAAATCTGTTTTGAACTTTTTTTTCTGGATATTATATATAATTAATCAAACTAGCGAACAGTATAATATTTTAAATGTAAAAACTGAAAAGTCCTTTGAATTTCTCTGGATAAATCCTAAAAATTTAAAGGCATGTGAAGTTATGTCAATAATATGATCATTAAAGTTCAGTTTTCTATCCAGTGTTATACGAAATCACGTACCTGACGTATCTCTTGCAGAACAGTACCATTAAGTGTGTAATTATTATTAAAAGAAGCGTGTGCTTTACTAAACGTGATTTTAAAACATTTTTTAGATTTAAGTTTAAAACATTTACTTCACACCAACGTTAAAAATTATTTAAAGACAACTGCAAACATTCACAATCAAAGAGGCAAGCAATAGATCTGAAGATTTTTATGTCATCAGCGAATAAGAGAAATTTTTTTTTACTTTAGTTGTAACTTATGCCGTGGTAAGCCCAACACATGTCTTCATTTGTTACATAGTCGATAGATATTTAAGTCATATATATCCTTGTTCTTTGCTGCTAAAATTATTTGTTCACTCAGGTAATTGTGATTTTTTTGATTAGCGGTAATATTAAGGAGCAATGTATTAATGAACTGGTCCTTTGTTGAGACAAAAAGTCAAAAATTTAGTGGAAACGAAATCAAACCATTCAATTTGCCTGCAGGAATACTGCCATTACCAATAGACAGCAATTAGTTGGAGAACTCTTCATTGTTTAACAATTCAACCTACTTGTAGTCAGTTTCATTAATTTATCATGTACTTCCTTCTATTGTGGGTTCAACATTGGCACATTTTTTAAACTAATTGGTTTAATGCATCTGGATCATAATATTATTCACTTTCATTTTCCAATTCTCGATTGAAAGCTTCACTTAATTTTAAATAAAAAAAAATTCATTCTATAAAACGATAAACATGTCTTAGATCAAAAGGAATACTTAATTATGCATCTATTAATTTCTTTATTTCCCATTCTGTATCCTCTTTGTTTATTGACACTCTTTATGACTTCATCCATGATTAGATTGAATATCATAGGACTTAGTAAATCTCCCTGTCTTTCAATTCCATATCCCTGCATCTATAGGTTCTGTAAGTTCTATTCTAACTTCCATTTTATTGTTTTGATAGATATTTTAAATATTTTGTTTAATATCCAGCGGACTCTCTTTATTATACAAGAGATGTATTACATTCATCTCTCAAATGCTTTCTTCATGATGATCAAACATATGAATACAGGTTTATTGTATACTAATACTTTCTGTGAAATGTGATTTATGACAAATATTGCATCTATACATGACCTTTCTATACAGACACCTTGTTGCTCCATGCCATAATACAAAATGCTCAATATTTCGTTTTTTATACATTCAGGTTAAGCTCGAAATCAGAAGTTTTAGATACCACTTGATTGAGTAATTCTTGTAAACCCTAGAGGGTGTCTGCAGTTACAATAGTATCGTTAGAATACATTAAGCTGTTTGTTTTTTATACCATTTATGGTCTTAATTTAGATTACAGATTTTGAGAAAAACTAGGTTTTTAAAACTGGCAGAAGTTAATCTCTGGATCTAGTTGGTCGATTTTAATAAACATTAATGCATTTTGTATGTTTCGGTTTTCTTTATGATAGATTACCACAATTTGACCAAAATAATAATAATAATAAAACTTTGTGACTGGAAAAAATCGAAAAAAGGTCAATTTTGGAACAGAAATGTCGGCCATTTTGTTTTTTTAAGAATTTTAAATTTTTCTGAAGGGTACTTAAACCCTTCTCAAATTTTATATTTCATATTTGCTGTTTCAAAGATTAACTGTCCGCCATTCAGTAGTAATTTTCGAAAGAACAATTTTTGTCGCCATTTTTAAAATACAGGAATAATGGCTAAAAAAAGAAAACATTTTTTGTAATTTTCAAAAGTTATACAGGGTGGTCCTTAAGTAATTGTACAAAAAGAAACCGTAGATTCTACACTAAAAAATATTACAATTTAAGCCACATTGTTTTAATAAAATGTTGATATTAAGAAAGATACAGGGTGTTAAAGTAGAAATTTAACATTTTAATTTTCGCTATAATTTTCATGTTTGTGAACATTTATGTATAAAAATTTATAACTGGGTACTATTGAACATCAGGAATTAAAATTTGATGCATACTTTAATGTAGCTGATAGAGGGTGCCACATATTCCACATATGTGGCATACATTTCCACTTAACTTTTTTGCTCTATAAGTTACCGATGTTTGTGATAAAAAATATTAAAGATACATTATTTTAACAAAATAAAAGGTATACTTCTTAATAACTTCAAAACTCAGCAGACTTCGGGATAATCGCATTTTACAAACCATTACATAATTCTGATTTAACGCAATTAATCAAGGCAACAAAAGAAAATTAGACAACAACATCAATACTTCTGAATTTTGGTATAAAATGCCTTCAATAAAGTTAATAGG